ATGTGAATGGAGTCCAACTATATATGGAACTCGTTAGTGTAGATAAACGAACCTTGTATTATGTTATGGGATTCAGGGGTGGGTGGGTGTTATATCTAAATTATAAATGTAACTGCACTTCAAAACTGCTCGATCCTGAGCTGCTGAACCCTAATCCCTAAACCCTAATCCCTTATCCCTAAACCCTAATCCCTAAACCCTAATCCCTAAACCCTAAACCCCAAACCCTAAACCCTAAACTCTAATCCAGGATGTCGAGGGGCAGCTCCTCCTCGAGCCGCTGTCGAGGCGATACCTCGGAAGTGGATCGGTGGAGTTTCCCGGGCGCCTGCACTGGATGCCTCCCGCCTTGTCAAAGGGCTCCAAGGGTGGGATGAGAGGTAGGTGGGGCAATCCCAAAATGAGACCCTAAACCCTAAACCCTAGACCCTATTATATAAGGGATCCTTAATCCTACCTAGCTTCATCCCACCTTTTGAGGCCACCCGCCTTGGAGAGACTGGAGAAAAGCGAGGAGCTGGATATCTCCGTGTTCCCGGAGGTCCTGGGACTGCGGATCATCCAGGGAAGCGTGGACCACATCGTGGAGTGCCAGTATGCCCAGAGCTGGACCTGCACCCCCGGGGCCGTGCGAAGCCTCAGCGGGCAGTCCGCGATGTTCTGGGTCGACCTTTTCGTGCTGACTTCGGTGCCCTCCTTAGCCTCAGCTTTGTCTGCTTCTAGAGCGGAAGTCGGAAGTTAGATATGAATTTTTGTACGGCGGAGAAGAGACACCAAGTGAAGCAGATGCGGATACCACGCTCACACTCGATCTCGAACACATGTACCCGACATGTTGCAGTGTCAAATTTTGATGGCGAATGGCCAGGCCCTCTTCTACCTGGATATCGCGCTTGACTTGAAGCAGCTGTGGCTGTTTTGGCAGGAGGGGCTGTTCGGCTACTTCACGGTCAACCTGGCGGGCATGGCGCTTCCGCCAACTTTTTCAATCTTGGAGGCGGTGCGTTTCAGTGCTCGGCCTTCACCAGAGCGGGACCACCTGGAAAAGCTGCTGACACCTAAGATGCTGGTGCCAGCCATGCTCCTCTCCATCCTCACGCAGACGCACATGATCCTCCTCGTCGCAGCCTCTGCCTTCTCAAGAAGGACGCCTGGGTTGAAGGGAACCCTTAAGTGATTCTTGCAGGCATCTGCAGCGATGCTTTTGCAGCCCGCTTGTTGGAGGAAACATCCTCTGCTTGTGGGAGCCAAGGGTGCAGAGGCAAGGCCCCCGGCCGTCGGGTTGAACGGGATTTTGCGGTGAATTGACGAGTCTTGCGTGACTTGTTCAAGGCTTGAATTCCCGACGCAGGTAGCAGAATCTGCTGTGTCTGCACTGGTGCAGACCAACTTCCTGGTTTCAGCGCTAGACGGGATAGGGCAGGTCGAGGCGCTGGAGCTTACCGGCGGGCAGCTGAACAGCATGAAGCTTTCAGTCCTCGTCTCTTGCCTCAGTCTTGGCCTGGGATTCGCCAGCCGGGACAAGGATGACTCGGCCGTTCTGGACCTGCCAGGAAAAGTCGGCTGGGGCCTGACTATGGCCAGCCTTGTCCTGGCGAGGTCACTCGAGGTCTTCAGCCGCATTCTGGCATACAACGTTCTGCAAGCGTCCCTGCGGGGATTCCCGCTACTGCGAATCGCCGGCTTGGGAGCTGTTGCACTCGCTTTCCTCGCGGCTTGCCTGGCCTTCCCGGATGCCTCCTGGGCCGACGCCGCGGCCCCTCGGCTCGGCAGATGCAAGCGTGGTGCGAAGTCAAAACAAGCACAGTTTTGGTCTAGAAGCCTTTCGCAACGAAATCAACGAAAGAGGCCGCGGTGATTGCCCATCCGGGCCAGATCCTGGAGCCAAACTCGCTGTTGAAGCTTCGGCTGCTCGGCGGTCGGATTCGTAGAGAACTCGAGCGGGGAGAGGGCTTAGGGCTTGGGGTTTAGGGTTTAGGGGTTTAGGGGTTTAGGGTTGAGCGGGTAGAGGGCAAGATGCGTTCTGCTTGGACCGGAATCAGCTGCAAGGTACTCTGTGATGATCCACGTGGTGCTGGTGGCTGCTGCCGGTGGAGCGCAGTTGCTGCTGCGGACGAGCACGGCCCCGCAAGCATGTAAGGCCGCTTCGTTTCCTTGGGGCTGCACGGATGCTGCAGTGTTGCGGCAGGTTTGAACAATCCGTTTCAGGGTACCTTCATCGACTGCTGCATGCCGGACGCAGGTCCTGCCGGATATGCTGCTGATGGGATGGCTCGTGCGGGGCTTGGCCAGTCAAAGTCCAGTCTCTGGGCGATGGGAAGGGGGAACGCTCGCCGAGGTGATTAGCCTCGTCAGCTGGGCAGCGCTTGGCCTCCTCCGTCCCTCTGCACTCGTTTGAAATCTACATGCCCTGACATAAGTCAAGGTTTGGAATGTATATGCCATGACTGCCATGATCCCCGAAAAAAAACCTTAAACCATAAACCCTACCCCTTCAGGCTGGCTTGGCAACTACGTGGACCAGCCACGCTTTGTCGCTTTGTCGTCGCCTGTCATAGCCTACTCGACCTTGCTGGCCGCCTTCCCCAGCACCGACGGCCAGGCGCAGGGCACAGCACCCCCTATAAACTTTAAACCCCAAACCCCTAAACCCATTTAGACCCAATAAATTTACTAAACCCCAAACCCAAAAGCCCCTAAACCCCTAAACCCTAAACCCCTGAATCCCTGAAACCCAAAGCCTGGAGCTTGCGACAGCGCTTTGGCATCCTCCGCTTGCCTAGGTGCCGAAGGTGGTGCTGGCAGCCCTGAAGGACAAGCACACTGTCGACTTGACAACGGAGGCCGCGGTGACTTGGATGTGCAAGTATACTTGCCAATGAGTGGCACAGTGTTCATCGACTCTCGCAGAGAGTTCCAAAGCAAAACGACTGCACTTAATTTCAAGAAACCCTAAACTGAACAAAAAAATAACAATACACTTAAACTCAAAATCTCATACCCTAAACAGAACAACACGAAAACAATCTAAACCCCCAAAAAGCAAAGTCCTAAACAGAACAACCTCCGCTTGTGGGCTGGAGGCACATGGTCTGAAGAAGCCGGGGTTGGAATGGATCCTGGACTTTAACCTAGACTCCTGCTACGACGGAGGGGTGCTTCTTGGGCTGGGCTGCAGCCAAGCGACTGGGCTCTTGTTCAGGAGTTAAGCTGCTACCCGAATAGGGATCCATGGTAAACAGTATGGTTTCCCTATGGTGGTAACTTGAAGTGACTTCCTTACAGTATGGTGTCCTTCTCTTGGTAGCTTTAAATGACCACTTCCTGAACAAGAGCTTAGGAGGCGGTGGTCCGGGGCCTGGAGCAGTACCATCCCGCCACCCTCCACCTCCAAAACTTCCGAAACGTCCCTGCCGACGCCTGGGAGCGTTTGGGCACCAGTTTGGGCTCCCCGAGCCTGGAGAAGGTGGACCTCTCCGTGCCCCTCAGCTTCCTTTTTGGCACCGTGAGTTGCCAATTGTACCACAATTTAAGGGTTCCTTCTCAGGGCTATTTAAGGGCTTAGGGTTTATATAGGTTCAGGGTTATTTAAGGGTTTAGGGTTTAGGAAGCATTGACTTCTTCTCCTACAGTCTAGAGCCTTTGTACAACCCTAGTATTGTGACTTCTATGGCCCGTATCGTAAATGCTTAGAAAGGCCTTGCAGCCCCTGTCCCATAGATACTTCGAGCCCCTATCCCCGTACTATTATGAGACCTTCTATTTATCCTGTCATGCCCTTATGCACCCCTAGAATGACCCAATAGCAAGGTCTACAACAGAACCCCTATAGACCCAAACCCTAAACCCTAAACCCCTGAACCCCAAAACCCTAAACCCCTAAACCCCTAAACCCCTAAACCCCCATACTTGGGGCCTTTAGAGGGTTCTCCCGGAGCCGAGGTGTCTCGATTTTGGCACCGGCGCCGCGCCGCTCTTCGCCGGTCTCGCAAGGTCTCCGGAGCTGAAGGACCCCAGAGGGACCCTAGGGTTTAGGGGTTTAGGGGTTTAGGGCTTATAGGGATTTTTAGGGTTTAGGGCTTATAGGGTTTAGGGTTTAGGGCTCAGGGCTCAGGGGTTTAGGGTGTAGGATTCAGGGGTTTAGGGGTTTGGGGTGTAGGGTTTAGGGGTTTAGAATTTAGGGTAGGCCCTAACGTAAGGTGCCCCGAACAGGATCAGAGCATGAGCATTTTTTCCTGGAACATATTGGGCTTCAGGAGAAGGGGACTTCCATTAAAAGGCCAGGGCCTAGTTCTTGCTTACGTGGCTTTTTGGCACCCCAGAAAGGTCCCCATGAAAGAGGAAGGGAGTACTTAAGCCCTGGTCTGGGTGGTTCTCTGAATTAGGGTCCCTTTTTAGGTCCCCAATATAGTACGGCACAGTTATAAAAAAGGACCGTAAAAGGGACACTACTTTAGAAAACTACCCATACAGAGAGCCTAACATAAGCCCTAAACCCTAAACCCTTGGATGAATCGAGCCAGAACTTCTCAGCCCTCGTTTCCTCGCTTCGTTCCTTGGTTGAACGGACCCTGGGGACAGAGAGGTCGCCCAGGGAGTTCGCCCCCTGAAATTGCAGGCACCTCTCCGGCGCACACCCCTGAGGGGTGAACATAGAACCCCCCCTCCCCCTCTATGCAACAAAAGGGGTCCTACTATTCAGTGGCTTAAGATCGGCCGAGGTTCCATTTCTTCCACATAAACCCTGACAGAACACTCAAAAACATGTTTTTGGGGTTCTTTATGTGGCTTCTGGGTTCCTTGTTTAAAGACCCTTTCAGTGTTTCCGGGTACTTTGGGGAACCCTAAACCCTAGACCCCAAACCCTAAGCCGTAAATCCTAAACCCTGAGCCCTAAACCCTAAACTCTGAGCCCTAAACCCTAAACCCGAAACCCCAAACCCCAAACCCTAAGCCCGTAACCCTAAACCCCAAGCCCTAAACCCTAAACCCTGAACCCTAAACCCCAAACCCCAAACCCCGAAACCCCAGACCCGAAACCTCAAACCCTAAACCCCAAACCCCAAACCCCAAACCCGAAAACCCGAAAACCCTAAACCCCAAAACCCCAAAACCCCTAAACCCTAAAGCCTCAAAGGCTAAAGCCCCGAAATGCCTCGAATTCTGAAAACTTAGAGGCTTCCAAAGGCTGCGCCAGTTGGGATTTGATTA